ATAAATATCATCCCAACTGTTGGCGGCCAGACTTACGGGCTCCGTCCATTCACCTGTATCGTCTGTATTGTTGATGAGGATGGCACCAGAGCCGATATTCCCAGCCAGTTGTACATCGGTACGCCGGTCGCCGATCACATAGGATTGCGTGAGATCGCAACTGCCATCCAGGTAAGATTGCAACATACCCGTTCCCGGCTTTCTGGTTGCCTTCTGCTCATGCGGAAAGGACACATCTATATGTACCGCCTTAAAGCTGATGCCTTCGCCATTGAGTATTTCCAGCAGCTTATTCTGAACGGTATCAAAGTTTTCCTGCGGGTATTGCGGGGTGCCCAGCCCATCCTGGTTGGTGACCATGACCAGCTCATAACCCAGCTCGTGTTGCAACCGGTAGAGATTACGGATAAGGCCGGGCAGCAGTTGTAACTGGTCCAGCCGATCTACCTGGTAAGTGACTGGTGGCTCCGTGATCATAGTGCCGTCCCGGTCTATAAAAAGTATTTTCGGTTTCATGCCGGGTAGTTATTTAAGGCGTTTAATAATTGATCATTTTCGCTGGTTGTGCCAATGGTGATGCGCAGGCAATCATCACAGAGTGGCATACCGTGGCGATTGCGCGTGATAATCCCCTGTTCGGATAGATAACGGTATAGCCTTCCCGAATCAGTTGTTGCTACCAGCAGGAAGTTGGCCTGCGAGGGAAATACTGTGTTGATGCATTGAAATTTTATAAGTTCCGCTGCCATCCGTTCCCGTTCCATATTGATCTGTAATATCCAATCGGCTACCTGTGTCTCGCTGTCTAAGGCTTTAAGGGCAAGCTCCTGTACCGGCAAACTGATATTGTAAGGCGGTTTTATTTTATTAAGTACTTCAACAATGGCAGGTGTAGCAAAAGCCATGCCCAGGCGAAGCCCGGCCAGTCCCCAGGCTTTCGATAAAGTTTGCAGGATAACGAGGTTCGGAAATTCGTGTAGCCTTTTCAGCCAGGAGCTTTCCGGTGTGAAGTCGATATAAGCTTCATCAAGTATGACCAATCCCTGGAAAGAATGTAAGAGTTGCCGGATGATGCCGGGTGCGATCGTATTGCCTGTCGGGTTGTTGGGTGAGCAGAGGAATAATAGCTTGCTGTGCTGGTCTGCGAGGTTTAGAATGGCAGGAATGTCTGGCTGGAAATCCTCTGTCAGCAAGGCTTTCCGCACGGCGACATTCTGGATGGCAGCCGATACTTCATACATCCCATAACCAGGGTCAAGCGCAATGATATTATCAATGCCGGGATCGCAGGTAGCCCTGATAAGCAGGTCGAT